AACAATTGCTTTGAGCTATCAAAAATTCTTCTACAGAAGTTCAGATTTAGGTATTACTGTTTGCTGTCTTGTTCACAGACACTATTTTTATTTGATTTTAAATAAAAAAAACATGACGAGCAGTGCTGCACATTATTTTGGTTAAAGGTTAAGTAGGTGTATTTGACTAGGTAATCACTTGAGGTTTTGTCAGCCTTGCTTACTGTGATTTATAAGAGTTGGTTGTGTGAGACCAAGCATTTGATTGTTTAAAAGTAACATTTTGGGGGTAAAACCATTTTGTATGGCTCATTCTTCTTGCTATGAAATAAATTTTTGTAGTCTTACTTTATATTCTGATTTTCCATTCTACAGTCTGAAAAATTACCTGTGAACACTCACTCTTCATGTTTACCTGGTTCTTTGTATTATCTATTTTCTTATAGACAAGTATGCCTCTGAATAGCAATGCTAGCAAATTTTGATTTCTTGTCATCTTGGTTTAACTTGCTTATGCCTACTATAATATAATCTCCAATTTAATCTTTACCTGGGATTGGAATAATTATAGTGCATCTTTCTTCTTTTGAGTTCACACTGTGTCATTTTGCTTTGGTGCAAGAATGGGGAACTATGTATCCTTGGACTGATTTATTTTAGTGAAAATTTGTAGGGAATTGATATCCTTGAGATTCCTGCCCCACTATTGGAACAGGTTTGGACTCCAAAGGTATAAGGCACCTTTCTGTGTAGGTGAAGTGTTACTGTATAAGTCTGAATTCCTTACAAAATCAGGCTAAGATAGATTGTTTGCTGCACTGTATTTTTTTTTCTTGATTTTTAACATATGAGGCAGCATGAAAGCTGGCTTATGTTCTTAAGTGCTTACATACTACCTTTGCTGTTCTCATATGATTAGTTTATGGCTCTCATTGTAGCCATAGCTAATTTTACTCTGTAAAAATTGTACTTCTGTTATGAAGTTGGATGCTGTAGAAGCCATTTCATTTCTGCATGCTATATATCTCCATATTCCACAGAACTAAAACACCCTTTCTAGCTCACTTAATAAATATTCACCTCATATAGCATCTGCTTGCTTTCTTCCTCTACTGTGTGAGGGTAAAGCTTTTTTTTTTTCCAGCCTACAAGTTTTTGAATGTGACCAAGTCAGTCATGAGGGACGATGTAATATGTATGCCGGTGTTCGTGTACTTTTATCTCTTAGTAACTGAGAGGCAGCTTAACCCTGTTGCGTTTATTACAGGAGAAGTGTATGCATATGGACAATTAGCACAGAGTATTTGAACAGCTAGATTATCATCCGCATGACTTATTTGCTCTTAGGCTTTGTTTCATTTGCCATGAGAAAGATAAAAACAATTTCCAAGAGTCACCTGGATATTTTGTTCCTTCAGCGGCTTTCTCAGATTCTGAAAGACTTCCAGGCTCTGTGGAAGGTGGCTGATAGGAAGTGAATCATGAATATGAATCGGCATCTCTCCACCCTTATATTCAAAATGCTGTTGCTAGGATATTCTTCTTTGTTTGCTACTCTTATCACATCATCACCTTTTTTAAATTCACTCTCTGTCATCCTTTCTTTAATTACATTCATATTCAAGCTGCTTGTGTTTCTCTGCAAGACCTTGACATAATCTTGTTCAACCTTTGCATCTGCTCTTGTGTTTTGCTGCCTTTGCTTCTCCTGAATCTTTCTCTGAGTTCCAGTTTTCTCTGTTTCGCTTCCTTTTTGTCCTGGATTGTCATCTACTCTGTGTGTGTGTTTTGCTAATGCTACCTTGTAACCATGGATTAGGGTATGCTTTTTTCCTTTTCTACTGAATGTATATTTTTTTGTATTAAAAAAATCTTGATTTTTGTCAGCTCATTTTTACTCTCTCCCCACCACCACCCTGTTGTTATAGTCCATTGTGAAAATGAGCAGTTAAAAACAGAAGTGTTTTCTCAATTCACAAAGGTGAAGTGTTCATAAAATTTGATGTGGGTCACCTCTTTAATTGAAATTTTAATGTTGGTAGCTTATTTTTGAGGTGACACTAAATGCTAACGAAAAGACTTGTTTAGTTGGTGATTATACTTTATGTTTGAACAGAAAGAATTTTGGTTAAAAGGGATGATAAGGTGAGAAGTCCCTAAGTTATTCAGAGAAATTTATTTTTTTAGGCTTTTTTTTTTTCCTTCTAAGGAATAAGAAGGAAGTGGAAGGGAAAAGAAATGGATGCTCACTCATTAGCTTATGTTCTTTTGATGAGAGATGCCACAGATAAATACTAAAGAACGAATTCTTGTAGCTGGAGGAACTTGCAGAAGATGTTTCCTAAGATGTTTCATCATCTTAAGCTTGCCTGCCCTATATGAGCCCTGTAGCTCAAATATCTTGAGCTTCCAAGTTTGGTTATTTCAGCTAGGTTGAGGAAGAACATCTGGGGTGTTTTTGTTTGGAGATATAACTTGTTCTTGTTTTCTTAAAGTGTGGCAGAAGATATAAAATGCCTCACAGAACTTTTGTATTTCTTTGAAATGCTTACAAGGAAGTATTACAAAAGTACTTCATCCAAAGTCATGAAACACATTTTTTTGTTTAATGTATTAAGACAGCTAATTAAATCAGACATTTTATGAAAATGACACTAGCTCTCATTTTAAGACAGTTGGATCAAATACAGAATTAAAAAAAAAATTTATTAGCACTTTAGTGAATAATTCTTTGGAAGATCCCCCAAGACTACTGCTGATACAAAAAAACATAGCGTAGGAAATAATGGAATATATGCTCTGTTTTGCTTTTTTGACTCTTAGGGATGCAAAAGATGCAAAGAATCAGACGTGGGGAAGAAAGTTAGTTGTGTTATTTAAGGCTATAAAGGTAATCCCAGTTCACTAAGTAAACCAGATCTCCTGGCATCTTGTGTGAGAGCAAGGCCCAAAGATTCTGCCCTTATTTTGAGTGATCTTGGCTACTATCATTCGGCAAATAAATGAAAATTCAGCCCCTGTTTTCCTCTCTGAAGATTAGTACAAATCCCTTTCTTTTGTATCTTCACGGTTTTCCTTTTCTGTTATGGAGCAACAGAAGCTTTTTCTTTTTTAATTTTTTTGAAACAGATTTTTCTGTCTCCCCCTGTGGTGGCTTCAAGAGGCTAGAGACCATGTCAGTAGTAAAAGTTGGGGTTGCGTCTTGAGACCGTGGGCAGCCCAGGCCAGATATACTCATGCTCTTGCAGGCTTTAATACTTTACAAAGCACTAGACAGGAGTTTCTTTCCCACAACACTTGGAAGCTGTTTCAGGTACTGTTTTGAGGCTGTCCATAGACTTGGGAGCATGTAACTCTGAATACACTTGAATCATATTTTCAGCTTTATTTTAGTTCTAATGTGCTCTTGCATGCTCTCTCAACTGGGCTGGTTTCTGATTGCAGAGCGGGACCTCTGGATCTTCTTTAAAAGCCTCATCTCTTCTTGGTTATTATGGAGCTTGAAATAGGAAATAGTAGATGAGTCATCTGATATGCGGGTAAAAGGCAGTATACAGCAGAGAGCTTTATATGGCTCTCAAGTCCAAATTTCGTTCTGAAAAATATGCCAGAAGTACTTGAAGCTTTCTAGTTCCACTGGTGAAATGAATGCTGCTTAAAAAGGCTGTTTTCGTGAAACGAGTATGTAAGAGACATGATGCCAGAAACTCTTAGATGCCTAACTGAAGATGCTCAGAAATCCTTTGAAAAATTGTAATTAATTTGTTGTTAGCTAGAAAATGGGGAGAATATTCAAGCAAGGAAGCCTGACTGGCTGGTGCTGAAAGAGCTGGCCCTCCTCCCCTCTGTTCTCAGCCATGTACTCCCACAGGTGGCCCTGTGCTGGCATCAGGGGTCATTTGACACTGGTAAGGAACTAAACCATGAGAAAACAAATTCTGTTTAAAAAAGAAAAAAAAATGAGTCATACTCTGTTGGTGTAGCTCCTTGAATGAACTTGAAGGGATATCATCTGTTTTATCAGAGTAGGGTAGATCTCTTGGCTCTCAGTCAGAAGGATGGATGGTCCGCTGCAGCCAGGAAAAGGGAGGAGGGAATAGGCTCTCCCTACTTGGTCGCAGTGACTGCTTAAGAAATTAGAGAGTTTTCTTCTATGATCTTGTATTAAAAATTCTGAATTCTTCCTGTGGTAGCCTGTATTACAACAAATCTCATTGTCTATTTAGGGATATGTCTTTAGTTTTTTGCTGTTAAGCTCCATAATAGCATCTTGGAGAAAGATTATTTTAATTGGTCCTTAATTATTCTTTTTTTCAATTGGTCGACATTCAGGATATTGTGATAGACAGGGTTTGTTCACAAATGTGCCCCCTATGTTTCTGCTTTTCTGGATAACTTGTATATTGTATATTAGAAGTTAATACCTACTGTCTTCCAGAGGCATTTGCTTTCAGGGGTGTTGGGATATCTGTGTAATGCACTTGAATTATGATGAAAAAACTTAACCAATTGAAGTTTTCTAGTTTATATAATCAGTAGGCATTGATGCCTCTTGATTTGCGCTGAGAGTTTCATATATATTTATATATATATGAACTATATATATGTAGTTCTGAACACAGAACTTTGAACACCAGATACAGGAACCTAGAGAAAAAGAATCAGTTCTTAATAATCTGGAGTAGTGGGTATCCCATGTAGCAGAGCGTTATGGTTAATTAAGCTATTAATCATCATTTGGGGGTGTAGATTGAGTCTAAAATCAGCTTAAGCCTAGAATAATATTTAGTTTGGGCTTTGTGTCTTCTGAAAGTCTATATATGTTGCTCAGAGCCCAGTGAGGCTTTGGGGACAATATTTCTTTTCTCCACATGTTGTATCTACATATGCAATCTTATTTGTAGTTTATATGCATATTTGATGTGTAGAATATTAGAAAAACTGCCCATAAACAATGAGGAGTTGACTGTCTTACATACTTTGACAACTTCAATAATTGTGTATTTTTGGTTTTGCGTTTTAGGAAATAAAATAATGCTAATGAAGCAACCATTTCCCTGAAGTTCAAGTTTTCAGGCTCACTGCCATTATGGGTAAGTCCTGTGTGTAATATATATAAAAATTTAATTTGGATACTTTTCTATTGAAGACCAAAAAAACATTAATGTAATACCATTCCTAGGAAATGTGTGCTTTGGCTGTGTAACTCAGTGTAACGTCTACATGAAAGGCAGTGTTCAGCTGCTTTGCTAGTATTCAGAATACTTCTGTTTTTTTTCCATTGGAATACAGCACTTTTCCCTCACTATGTGGTAACTTTAAAAATCCAAGTATAGGAAGTTGAGATTCATAGTATTAGGGTACTGAGCAATATTTACTGTGCTCTAAATTGTAATGGCTACTGGGAAAAAAAAACCCATAAAGTCTATATTAGAGAATTTTATCGTCTTGTGTCATTGCAGTGCAAAGCCAGGACTGTGTAGATGGTATAACTGTGTTTTTCTAAATATGTAGCACACTTGTATTCCTTTAAATTTGATGTTGATTTTTCAAGTTGTACGTGCATTTTAGTAAGTTGACCATGTTTTTATTGTAATCACTTATCGGTGCTCACTCTCAAAAATCCCAACAAACCAACCAACCAAACCACACACGTTTTTGTATCTCTTCTGTTTATCTTTTATTGTTATGCTATTTTTTCCTAACCTCATGTTTAATAATAAAGTAGCTGAATCTAGGAATACAGCACTCTTTAGACTTCTGATATTCTCCAACATTTTGTGTGACAGAAATGACTATTGAGTCATATTGGATATTCAGTAAACTTTAGATGCTTTGCCATAATGCTTTGGTTTCTTTTGTATGAAATATGCTACCTAGTGACCACTGGGAATTAAACCTCCTCTAACCAACTGCTAAAAGAACAATTTTTTTTTTATCGCTGAGCACTAGAATAGGCTATAACACAATAAAATAGTTTACCTTTTAAATTGTGGCAAGTTTTGAAGTGTGTGTTAGTGTGAGAAAGGAATAACTGCGAGCTGCAAGAATGCCTTCAGTTCTGCCATCAAATATTCTTGCTTTTATAGATTTGCATATCTTAGTAGAGTTACAAATAATGACAGCATGAGTGATGATCAAAGTTACTCATTTTCAGACCATCTGTTAGGAATCTATTAAATTAGAACACTGAAATCCCATCATTTCCTGATATGACAAATATATTTGGTTATATTTGAACAGAGTGTGAAGGAATTCTCATCATTGCTGAATACCTGGAATGCTTGTTTGCTGATTTTTAATGCTGGGGTTTTTCTCAGTTCCGTGTTTCAGAAATACTGTTCTTAATAAATCACAGCACTTGACAATGAAATCTTCAACAAACATATCCATTGTGAAGTAGTATGAAGGCATACAATCAACATCTTTGCAGATAAATGTTGTTAGCCAGTATTCTAGATGCATGTTGAGTATAGTACTGTTGCTGTGGCAAGGAATTAATACAAAATATTAGTGACAAATAAATTTCCCTTAGTGATGGATGTACAGGCTTTTGAGCTCCTAAGTGCTTTTATGTCTAAAGGAGCATCCCAGTTCCAGGGCAAACCTTGTCTAGCATGGCCTCAGGCCATCACAGCTGCAGCAGATCCATCAGGATTTAGGATTTAGTGTGAACTTGAAATCTAAGCTGCGTAGCACTCCTGCCCCTAAATTGTCCCCTGGGTTCAGTGCTTCTGTTTCTCTTTGTGAATTAGTCCTGTAAGCTCTAAAAAACCCTACATTTGCAGTCCTGGAAAAGTTCTGTGGTGTTTTGTTTTAAATTACTCTGTGGGCTGTCAGCAGATGCTCAAATAGTGGAGATGTTCCTCTAGGAGTTTGTGTATGCTTCCTATGTGCATGGCTGTACCTGTTCAGGACAGAGGAAAAATGATTCAAAAGTACTTGCTTTTCTTTTTCTTTATTTTACAAATTGGGAGTGGGAGGGAGTGTGATTTCTAGCAAGCATCTCATCCATGGACGTTATTGGAAAAAAAAAAAAAGGGGGGGGGTTTTTTATACTTTGTTTCCCCCACCCTTCTCTAACTAATACAGCCTGCATTTCTGTAGAGTTGTCAATCTCTGCTATGACTTCAGTTTTTTAAACCTGCCATTTAAGTGTGTTTACTGATTAAGCTGTTTATTTCCTTAGGCACTGTTAATGATAAAATAAAAATGTTTGCAACATGGCAGTAATTTTTTTTTTAGTTTGGCAATTATGTATTGAAGTGTAATATGGACTTTTAGATTTTAGAATAATGCCTGCCTAATTGTGAAATGAGACAGTAATGCACTTCAAATGTAACAGTCACTTACACTTCTGTTGTCTTTTTCTCTGAGCAGATGAGCAGCAAGCTTTGAATTCAATCATGCAGGATTTGGCTGTGCTTCATAAGGCCAGTCGTCCTGTATTGCCCCAGCAAGAAACAGGAAAACCAAAGTCATCTTCGCCTAAAAAACAGGTAATCTTTTAATATCCTTACTAACCTACTGAACACGGAATGTCCTGCTGTGACTTCCATAATTATTTTCCTTGCCAGACCAGTGAGCATACCAGAATGAGCTATTAGTCTCCCACATGTGCTGCTATTTTCTTTGTTCATGGTCTTAAATTAGCAGCAAAATGAAATGGTGGCATTTCAGATCAGTTCATAGTGTATGCTTAAATGACTCCGATCCTGATAAATTGAAGATCATAGGGGTGTTTTGACACTGTATGTAGATTTTTATTATTATTGTTGTTGTTGTCATTATTATTTGATTGGTACTAGACTATTTTAAAATATCAAGGTGTGCTAGCATCTCTTATTTGGAATGCTTCTTTAGAATGAATTATACTAGGTATACTAGATTGCCCAGTTGTCAGCTATGTCATACTAAAGAATGTCAGTGCAACAGCAGAAACGTACTTAAGCTCCTTTACCGCATCTTTGGCCTCAATTTTTTGTTTGTTCATGTGTTGGAAGTGTGAGTTCTTTTCAACTCTTTTTTTTTTTTTCTGCAGATACTGAACACAGATGGAGTAGTAGTAAATACTTAGTTGATAGGTTTGAACTACTATATGGAGAGATTAGGAGAGCATGTGGATTTTTACCCAAATTGTTGTAATAGCCCTATTGAATTAACTGTATGTTTATTTGATTGGATCCTTAATTGACAGTCCAATATTTCATGAAACTTCATTTTGTGCAGTCTTGTTTTAACCCGTTAAAGATCAAAGTATTTGAATATATTTGGCTCTTAAATTGTCAAAAACTGATGGCTACATCTTCTTCACTCTGTGCTTTAAAAGCTGTAAGAGTCCAGTATATAACACAGCGGTGCTTTGCTAGTGTCATATAACTCACTTCTGAGCTGTGACTTTAGACATTCAAGTAATGTGCATATATGATCCAAAATGATCTGAATATAATACATACATAGAAAGTTAGAAGAAAAATAGTTGAGCCATTTCTGAGTATAATGTGGTAGTGGTGAGGGGGAAATACATGTTTGTCATTCTGTTTAAATTTGTTAATTTTGAAAGCAATCACTTGTGAATCAAGTAATTCTTTTGGAAGATACAACATTGTTATTTGGATATAACCTCTGTGGTTGAATGCATTTTTTTTTCCCTGCAATAGTTGCTAATACAATTTGATTCTTAAAATTATTATTTTGCAAAACAATTTTATTTCCATGTAGCTGCAGATATTTACAGGTATCTTTGTTATTGGGAAATTGATTGCGTGAATGCTGGCTTAATTACATACGTGGGTTTCTATGGTAATGCTTATGAAACAAGATATGTTTCTTAAGCTTGGAACACTCAGCTCTGAAGTGTACATAAAAACCTGTTATGGTAGCTAAGTCTACCTGCCTGTTCATGATGGAGGATTCTTTGGTAATCAGTTCCACGCTGAATTTGAAATGATGAATCTGTTATAATATTCAAATATATTGATAGAAGATAATGTGTTTACTTACAGAAGCATTCATTGTACTTCAGAATAATTTTTTGTATTTTTTTTACACACTTTAAGCCTCTGTCAGATACCTCAGCTGAAGTGCGTTGTTAAAATGCTTGGTATATCAGAAAGGACAGAAAATTAATACGGACTGCTTAAGGATTTTACTTCTGGTGTAGGATTACTGAATGGGATTTCATGGCCTTCATTAAAGGAGGTAGTAACAAACTAATAGTGGTTCTTTTATCTCTTTTCTTACAGAACGATGTTAGAGTCAAATTTGAACATCGAGGTGAAAAAAGGTAAGGTGGGAACACAGGAAACAGTCTTGTCTTTTAATTATTTATAGAATTTTGTTGGCCTCCTATTATAAAGTTTCAAATAAATTGTTAGTGTTTCAGATATCTGAGTGTATTTGCTTTGGGCTTAAATTTTATTTTGATATGAACACAATTTAAGAATTAATCTGTTTAAAATGTGGGCTCTAAGTATGCATAAATGCAGAATTATCTTACTGTATCTATGTCCCATGTAATATCCTTCATTTGTTTACCCTTCAGATACGTGTTTGTAGTCTAGAACAACTACTTAAATCGTTAGCATAGATCTCAAATATGAGTAGACCAGCAAATAATTTTTTTGCTGTATCATGTGCGTAATAAATGCATGATAACATATTGTTACTGTAACACCCAGAGGAAGAAGCCTTGATCTTAAAACTCAATGTTGGATTGTACTTTGGAGGAACCAATCTGAGAACTGTAATAGGAAAATTGATTAGACTTTATAATTAGATTGTTTTCATTGATAATTTTGAATAATCCATTAAAATTTATTTTCATTTGGTGTATGAGAGGTGAATGATGTACATGCTTAAAGTATACAAACATCTACCTCTATATCTCTCTGCTCTGATGGCTGCTCAGAAGCTTTTACAGAAGTTGATCTACAGTTCCGTGCAGAAGTGGTTTGTGGACAACTCATTTTGTCTGTCTCTTTCTGAAAGCAGTACCTACAGAGAAATGGTTATAGAATAAGATCTTTGAAAATACTTAATGAAGCAGGAAGTAATATCCTGGTCATGCTATTTGTCAATAGAAATGGTAAATTCCTTAAGTAAAGATTGCTTCAAAATGAAACCTATGCTACTTTTGGGCAGTCCTTATTGTGGTGTGCAATAGATCAGTGTGTATCCATGCTGATTACAGTATGTGCCCTCTCTTTACATGGGGTAGTAAAATAGCAGTAATTTCCCTAGGTATTAACCTTCTTCAGCTTCTTTCTCTCACTTTTCTGAACGTCACATGTAGCATTGCATGGTTGAGTGCTATAAGTAATTTGGAGGAAATAAGTCTTTTCAAAAGCTTTGAAAATTAAGGACTCTTCTACCTAGCAATTTCTTGTGAAATAAGTGGAAGCATGAATTTAAAAGAGAACTGTTTACTCACTGCCAGTCTGCACGGGCAGTGCATTTTTGCAGTTTATCTTAATTCACGTTCACAGTGGACTAAGTTAATCAATTCAATATGAATACAAGCATAAAGTAAGCGTGTGGAAAGATACCTTTCCCAAGCTTTTATGCTGATGGGCCTAGCTCTGTTTCAGACTGTCCCAAGTAACTTGAGCCTGCTTGCCCAGGGGTACTGGGCAGCCCAGGCTCATTGCTCAGCATGAGTTACAATACTTTTGTTGCCTGAGCACGTAGATCTAAAGATAAATTAATGAAATTATGCAAGAAAGATAAGTTATGCAATGGCTTTCTCACTACTTTTTAAAAAGGGAAGTGGAAAAAAGAAGTGATTCCAGAGTTTCTTTCGGTAGTAATGTGGCACTTTGTACCAAGGAACGTGCACTGTGATGGGCAGAGTTCCAGGCTTGCTAAAGAAATCGTTAACTACAGTGAGAATTGGTGTTGAGTTTGTTTTGCGGTTTTTTTCATGATTTTATTTTTCAAAATAATTTTTAATTGGAAGTGGCCTGGCTTCTAGCCTCATTTCAGTGAGAAATATTGTTCCGTAACCAGGATACCAATTGAAACACTGATAAAAGAGACAGTTATTCTTTGCTAATTTTTCTGCTTTGCAAAATTTGAGTGCTGTTTCTTTTTTGAATGTGAATTGAATGTACCTCACTAGCTTAGTCACTTCTAAAAGCTTTTTTTTTGTTGTTTAATGGTGGTGTGTCTCAAATAATAGTTTTCTGTAGCAAAAGGTCAGGTACAGGCATTTTGGGTTATTTGGTTTGACGAGACATTCAGTTAAAGGAAAATCTGAGTTGTTGACCTACAACTGCACCATTCTTACAGAAGCACACTTGAAGCACAGTTAGTGATGGACTCAGCAGTTTGAGTGTGTAATTCATTATGGTAAAGATGGTGACATTTAGTTACATTCCTCAGATGAGGTAGTCGACTGGATTTCCAAAAAATGGGGACTGTAGAGTAATTCCTTTCTGATATGCTTGTCAGCCTATGGTACTCCATTGTCTTAGTTTTCTGAAGTAGAAAAGTTTAGAAGTTTCTAAGAATTTGCCTCTGGAATGGAGGCATGCAAAGCATTAAGCTAAGAAAGAAGCCATACGCAAGCAAGTAAAATAGTCACAATGAGATCTAATTTTATGTGTGATTATCCCTTATAACTTCTTCACTGCTTTTCTGTCTTTTTTTTTAATGACTCAAAATATGGAGGACAGTGAATAAAGCATAGCCTCTTACGGTCTTTTTAGTAATAAATTTAATTGTAAGATCGCTCTTAAGTGATCTTAGTTGATCATCAACGAGTTGCCAGATTTTCGTAAGTAATGGACAAAAATTCTTTATAACTTAAATTGTGTTTCAGGATCCTGCAATTACCAAGGCCTGTTAAACTTGAAGATCTTGCAGCTAAAGCTAAAGTTGCTTTTGGACAGACTATGGATTTACATTACAGCAATAATGAGGTAATATTCTGCGTCTTCTAAATTCTCAGTGACTTGTACATTGATTATTTTAAGGCTGAAATTTGCTCTCATAAGCAGTGAGAACCACTCCTGTGACAAAACTTACTCCCGTGACAAAACCCCAGATTTCTAACGTGCGTGTTCTCAAATATGTAAGGCTTGTCTAAATTAGGATAGGCCGAAGAAGCATGAAATGTTTTATGCGAAGAGTCATACCTTAATAAATCATGTCTCAGACTTGATCAGGAATGGGTAAATTGTCTTCCTGTTCTGCCACAGTCCTGTTGCATGACTTTGGGATTCTCTTTACCGCATTGAGCTTTGTCATGTTTGTAAATTTGAAATAACATTTTTATCCTTTCTTGTACACTTTTTTCTTTAAGGATTAATCTTGTTAGGTAATTGCTAGAATGTTGCATTTAGTAATGTTTGGATTGGAGAACTAGGCTTAACTGTTGCTCCTCTTAAAGTGGCTGGTTCACAAAGATTTCTTGGGAACAGTGGTAGTGCTGTCAAGCCACTTACACCTGATCAAGATTACTTCCAGCTTTCCTTTAGCAGTAGAGATGGAATTCGTAATAGGAAGTATATTTACAGATGCAGGATCCATTCTTAGGAGTTACTTCTGTTTTTTTGCCTTGAGTCAGCAAAGTGTATGTAGGATTATTTTTGTGCTTGGTTATGCACAACATAATTGCTGTATCTAATCTGCATCTTTGCAGAAGAAAATGCCTGTTATTGCTGTTTGTTGGTTAAGGTAGTGAGTACCAGGCACTTCTGTGAAACTGATCCTCAAAATGAAGATTTCCTACAAAAGGTTTTTGGAGGTTAGGAAGGTCAGAAGAAATGGCCATTCGTGATGCTTTAGCCTCAGCTCCTTTCTCTGACAGATTTTCAGACATTTGAGCAGGTTTTCTGCTTGTCATCTTCTGCACTAGTTGGCAAATCATCCCATCACCTTTCAGAAATGTGGTGGTAATAACCTGTCATTAACATTAAAACTGCACTTAACAAATGACCGTACTCTTCATTTTATCAAGACCTTCATCCCTCATTTTCATTTCTTTTTGTATGAAAGTATTGTATGTCAACTGATGTTGTATTTGAGCATCACTGAGACTGTTTACAAGTAGAGTAGCTTTTGAAAAAATCTATATTGCGCTGTTCCTTTGTTACAAGCAGAAGTTGTAATTTACACTCCTGAAACATAAGCCCAATTTTAATCGTTATAGAATTCAGATCTCAAGTGTACTTTAACGGCATATCATTTTCTGTTCTAAAGATATATGTATGCCAAGTTAATTGTGATTAATTAGATCTAAGGAGATTCTAGTGAGCACTACAGTTGTTCCACGTGGATCGCATCATGCCTGATAACTTCCTTAACAAATCCTGTTATTCAATGGAGAAATTCTGTTAGTGATACGACTTCAAATAAATATAGTTGTAATATTGTGAGATAAAAATAAGTCCTATTTTATAGAGCATAAAGCACATTATTTATCTTATAGACTTGCATTAATTTAGGTGTTGGCAAATACACTGACACTGTTGCACATGTTTCTCTGAAACTTGTAGGATATTAAGGTGTACATGTGTAAAATGGTTGCTCCTTCATTGTGAAGACTTGTTGCACCATGCTGTACCTACTGAAGGCATCTGAAGGAAAAGTTAAGGTTGAACTTCAGACATTTTGGTGGTAACTTGAGGCATCATTTAATAAATTTTATTTTCAAGTTGTTTGGAATGAAAGGAAAGACAGTATCAGTTTATTTGTTTCTCTGCACTTGACTTCCTCATTTCTTTCTTGTGTCCTGTTTAAGACATCTTTTTTTATTTTTTTTTTTTTCCCCCCTCTTTGTAGCTTTTAATTCCATTAACCACACAGGATGACCTGGACAAAGCTGTTGAACTGCTTGACCGTAGTGTTCATATGAAAAGTCTCAAGATATTACTTGTAATACATGGAAATACACAGGTATGAGTTGACATGCTAAATGTCTTTTTCCTCAGTTTTTATATTGAAGTATAATTTGTATCTTTTCCTAAAGATGACATTTTACCAATTCAAAATATTACTGATTGCTTCTTCAGTTCACTTTAAGCATGTATTAGCATTTTGTATTGACTCGGTTTTAACTTTTTCCTAGATACTGTTCCTCTCTCTTTGTATGCCTTCCCTACAGTGCTAGAAAAATGTTCCTTAATAGGATGATGATGTGATACAAATTTGAGAACCACATAGAATTTTATGTAACTGTAGCTATTTGGAACTGTTCTTTAAGTCATATGCTGGTGACACTCCTTTATTGTAAATTAAATGTTTGTTGTAGCAAACAGTAGCAGTGGACTATAGGCTAATTACTGAGCTATTTTGGTATTATCTATCACACCACAGCCATGACATTGATAGGATTTGTATGCTAGTGATAAATAATGATAAATAGTGATAAAATAATGAAAATTATTTTTTTAAATATTAAGAATGAGCTACTAAAATAGATTAATTTTGATATAAATTGACAAGCTTCTTTTCAACTGCTTGAAAAAAGGAATGTGTTGCACAGAGCCTTTAAAAGTTTGCAAAGTATTTTCATTGTCAGGAGTATAAAGTAATAATTGCAGTTTGTAATATGTATGCATTTTCAGTCACCCAGTGTAAATAAAGTGGAACCCTTGCCCTCACTGGAAGACTTAGATAATACAGTGTTTGGTGTGACAGACAGAAAAAGGCGGATGTCTGTAATAGGTAAGCTACATATTTCAACAGCTTAATTGTAAAAACTTTTCTTTTGTAATAGTCTCTTTGTGAAGATCTTGTTCTCAACACAGACTCTGAATTTCTTACTCATCAGTGACTTGTCATACTGTAGAGTTTGCACTCGGGAGAGTGGATTTTGAATTTTAAGTCACAAGTCGTTTAAATATATATAGAGAGAGAGAGTACAGAAAATTAACCAAAAAAATGACAAGTAAATAAACCTATGTAGAATTAATTGAGGTAACTGATGGGTATCCTAGAAAGTTGATGTTAGTACTCCCCTTTATTTTCAGATACAGGAATGAGTTACTGAAAAATCTGTTTGTTTATATGGCAGTGAGTTTCCTTGCTCAATTTAGGACTCCCATATTTTTTAATCTTAATGTGTGAACATTTAAGATACTTATTTTCTCATTGAAATAACCTTTTTGCCTATCCATGTTCTAAAGTTGGTGTGGTTAACTTCCAAATTTAATTATGAAACTAGAGAGTTTAATGAATAATTTTTCAGACAATTTAATTAATTTATTATGCATTTATTATGAATAGAGGTATTCATGTTCTTGCAGACGTTAGTATACTACAAAGAAAAACTGAAATTTTCAAGAGTTGGAAAGGATTAGTTGACATGGGTGGAAGGGTTTGGATTTTTGTTTTGTTTCAAAAGAAGAAATTTACCCAGCTAGATGTGCGGGTGAATTATATTTCTGTTCCTGTATAATGAAAACTCTTTTTAATGCCATGGAGGCAACCCTGCCCTGAATTTTTCATAGTTCCTGGATTACAGATTTTAAATGCTATATGTAAGTCTTGTATTGCATGGGCATTTGGGGAATCTCTAAAGCAAGACGTGATCCAGGCAGGCTCAGTGCCTATGAAGCACTTGAATAAAGCCCCTGGATTCTGGGTTAGTGAAGAGACTCTGACTAGCCCTTTTCTTTCAAAAGGTTCTAATACTCGTGATCGGAGTTCACCTCCCCCAGGATACATTCCAGACGAGCTGCATCAGGTGGCCCGAAATGGGTCCTTCACCAGTATCAACAGTGAGGGTGAATTCATTCCAGAAAGTATGGATCAGGTATGTGTGTGTTTTATTAAAATTAAAGCTTTTGTTAGGTTGATTTATGAAATACTGCTGTTCAAGAAGGATATGGAATTGTTAGAAAGAATAGCTTAAAAAAAATGAAATTATGATGACCCTAGAAAACATGATCTGTGAGAGGAGGTTAAAATAACTGTGGTTATCTAGTCTTGTAGAACCTGTTTTTTCTCTGTAAGTCTCTTCAATTATTTAAATATGTTGCTACAAGGAGAAAGATAATATTCTTAATTTCCATGATAGTTGAGTGAGGTAGTGATAGGTATAAATTACAGCAAGAGATACCTACATTAGAAAGCACAAAAACCTTCATTTTAATTAGAAGGATATGTAAGCAAGACCAGTTTTACAACTTTCCCAGGTAATCAAAGGAGGTTTTAAAGAAAAGTTTGGATCTGTCAGAATTATTTGGACTCAGTTTATACTGTGTTGGGGTAGAGGCAAGGGGGTGGTGATGGGCCTGGTATAAATAAGCTCTGAAATACTTTCACAGTCACGTTTTTAGGGGAGGGGTCACAAATATATGCTATTTTGTTCTCCTTATTCACCTGCATTATTGGTGTGGGATATTGGCACGCTTAGCACGAATAAAAATCCTGTGCTCTGAATATCAAAATTGCTCTTAAAAACAGCAGGAAAAGGTGGAGGAATGTAATGGCTCACAGAATTGGCAATGGAGAAAGAGATATTTTAAGGAGGAAAAAAAAAATAATACTGTATACCCAAATCACTTCAAGTTCTTGTTGACATTGGCACTGTATTCACAAATGGCAAGAGGCAATGGTTTTTATAAGCTGACTAAATGAGAGACAGATGATAGAATAAAAATAGAGGCAAAGAGATTGTGCAATTTGTTGCACAATTTTAATGACTGAGCTGGGAATAGAGACTGAATCTCCTAATTTCCAGACCAGGGTGCTATTCATTATCATAGCTATGTGGTCAGATCCAGCCCAGGCCTGGATTCATTCAGTGAAATGATTACTTCTGGCCTGGGCAAAGTCATTTTTGGTCACTGACTGGTCAAACAGACAGATGAGGTCTGAGGCCCAGTATGTCCTTTCACTCCAGAGTATTCAAGAAACATGTAACCTGTCAGGTACGCATTGCTGTGTAAGCTGTCAGCAGGGTTTAAATACAGGAATTTTACTTTCATAGGAAGCCAGGTTAGTTCAACCTAAGCAGCCTCGCAGGCCAGATTGGGGTGTTGGGAACTCACAACATTGCCCCCTTCCCCCTAAGTTGCCACATCACCTTGGCAAGTGTTGACCATGCTGCCTACATCTGTCACACCTGCCCCACAAAGACAAGAAGGTAATTTGGGAGTGGAGGGCTCTGCTCTGCTCTCCTGTTGATCTGCCTGAGCACAGCTATTCACACTCTGACAGCAGACCCCACGCTTCCTCTACAGAAGAGATGATGGGTTGGATGGAAGCGGGCCGTGGTCTGCCAGTTGGACCATACTGCATTGTTATAGAGGTAATTAATCTGACAGCAGATGGGCTTTTTTCCCTTTCAGGACCCACTGCTCAGCATGAGAAAAGAGGAATATTATTGCTGAACCTGTGATAAATGTTGTCCTCCCTGATACAGAGTTAATTTAAGTGTCTGAGTTTGCAGAGTGCAAATTCACTTTCTGGACACAGTCCTTGATTGGTGCTCGGCAAAGTATGTGCCCAGGACCTTTAAGATGCAGCACAGACCATAAAAATTGGAGGGGCAACTGCTAAATTTACAGTACAAGATTGGCGTCCAATTCATGGAAAATAATAGATGTTATATTATATACCAAAACAAATTTTATTTCAGGAAGGAGCTCATTTTAAGACAACAGATGAGCTTTCCACTGTTTTTGAGAGGCAGGCTGGTAAAATTGTCACATTCAATAATTCAAAATTTAGATTATGTTTCCACTTCTTTTGAAAAACAAATCTGTAAAACATTTTAGATCACTTTACTGTAAAAGAGAAGGGAGTGATGTTTGCCTGTCATCATACTTAGGACTTTAAGGGTGGTAGTGCGAGATCAATGCAATGAATGTCAGCCAATAGAAATAGATGGTAGTCAGGAGGATGCTCTTTACTATCAATCCATTTCTTTTTCTCTGGATTAAAATTTGAGCAACAGAGAAAGTGTTGATGTTTATTTTCATTATATAATAGATCTGGCTGAGATAGTCAGTTTTATGACTTCTTCAAACTGATACATGGCAGATTTCACACAGCTCATGAGCACTGATTCCTAGGTCGTCAGAAGTGTTTTAGGAAAAAATCTGTCTTTGGTGTTTTTGTAAACTCCAGTTTCAGATGAAAGTTTATTTTATTTGAAACAGGATTTTGGGTTGGGTGAGAAGGGAGAGTGTTTATAAATTTTATGCATTTTCCCTCTTTCTCCTTCCATTTTTCTCTTCAGTTCTATTTAAAATTCTGTGTAACTTGGCTGGAGTCCTAACTAGAGATAAATGTTTGAAAGCTTTTTACAGTATTTGGTTTTAGCTGTTTTCTGTGACTTCTAGTTGGCCAAATTTAAACCACTACGGAGATTATGTAAATTGTGTTCATCGCAATGTGTTATATTTGAGATTTTTTTCTTTGATGGCAAAACCCACTTTTTTTTTTAAACTGTCTCAGCTTTTTATCCTTTACAGGCCTTATTTTTGTTATTCTGCTAAGCTACTCATGCAGATATTGATACAATGTTAAGAGACAATGGCGTATACAGGAAGAATGTAGCAGTACAACTTGTTAGGTACAAAGCATGATTAAATACCTTAACTATATTCTAGTTAGGTGTGAGAAAAATCACAGAATCATTTCAGGAAAAAGAATGTAATGCAGATTCAACTATGGCAGCTAACTTTTTGTCTGGTAATTAATATTTCTGGTTTGGCTTTGTTTTTTATTAGGCGTTTCAAAGCAGAAACCTTCAAACATTTTAAACAAAAAACTGAACTTGTTAGTCTTTCTGTGCTTGTTATTTATTAGATGCTGGATCCATTGTCTTTGAGCAGTCCTGACAACTCTGGCTCGGGAAGCTGTCCCTCACTTGACAGCCCTCTAGATGGGTAAGAATTGCTTAAGTTCATTATTTATCTTTACTAGATTGCATAATGTATCAGTTGTAACACATAACTCTCCAGTGACAGCTATTACTAAACTTCTTCCAGAAATTCCTCTGTAAGTTATAGAACATTTATAAAAGCTTACTGAAACTTAATTGTTTACTAATGCACAGAAAATAGAAGTAGCTTTTTTTTCTACAATTTGCATTTGAAACACAAACATTTAGACTTCAGATCCTACAAAAATGTACTGAAGACTTTTACTAAATTTTGCCAGTCTTACGTATATATGAAGTATATTCCCTGGCAGTGAGCAGCCCCATGAAATTTACATTTCTTAGGTACTGCTATATGAAGTAAGCTTCCCTTTTCCAAGGTTGAGGGTACCCAATTCGAGAAAGAGGGTAGAATCATTTAAAGACTTCAACAGACAGTCCCCTCATTTTCTTTGCAATTACGGTCCATTCTTCTCCCCTTGTTCCCATTGCAGACTTTCCACTTATTTTTCCTTGTTTAAACCTGTCAGTTAGGGAGAGGCAGCGTGTACTGTGGTGGGTCTGGAGATCTATTTTGATTGATCTGTTAGGAGATTCTTGTGTTCTGAGAGGGTCACTGTCCATAGTTTCTCAGCCACCAGGTAAGCCAAACAGAACATGCTCCTGTCTGGCTTATGGTTGGTCAGGCAAATAACCTTGGGTCTTATGTTGCTTAGATTGGCTACTCGTTTATTTCGAACTGCTATACAAATAATACTGCTAATTACCTTTCTACCAATTAAATAAAATATTTAAAAAGTTGGAAATCATCGCCAGTGGCAATTAATCAATGCTATAGTATTCCATAGTACCACTTCATTTGAGAATGTGATTTGAGGACACAAATACATTTGGTCTAACAAATACATTTTTGAGTTTAATTACTAGTCTTCATTTCACAAACAAGAAAACAATAGACATGAAAAGTATTTTGTGGTTGGAGTGTGATAGGTTATACACCCAGTGTTTAATGTAGCTACATAGGATAGAAATTCTACCAAATGCCAAATTTTTATTTTTTTGTGGGGTAGGGGTGAGTGGAAGAAGGGGAAATAAAAGCAATCTTAATTTGACCCGTGTTTCTTCTCCAAAACTTCTTTTGGTTGTTTTTTTATTTATTTCATTTGTCACGGCTTCTTAGTTTGTTTTCCTTTTTTTTTCTTTCCATTCAAATATTTCCTACAAAGATGTAGGTTTTGTGTCTCCATTTAGCTTCTGTTATCCATTAGAGAAATTCTTACCAGAAAAAGGAGGACATTGTTTTGGTATGTTTATGGAAATAATACTGTAATCGGTTGCTCTGACTGGCAATCCCATCCATTCCTTTTGGTGGCTGGGAGTTGCATACCAACTGTAGGTAAGAAAAAATGGGATCATGTAAGCACCAAAAAATTCATCATTCTATAACTCAGTAAAGTTGCTCTCTTAATCCTATGACTTTCATGGAGAGAAGAGGAAATATTTGGAGATGTTAAAAGGTTCTGCATTTCTTTGGTTAAATTTCCTCAAGAGTTTTTGTAGGCTGTGTAAGAGATTTTGCCAGTTTATAAACATTTGTGTTTAGCCATAAAGGTGTTAAATGTAACAGTGCTCCTTTGTGGCTTTACTTGTGATAATTCATGTTTTTACTAATATCATTGCTCATTAACAGAATCTGTTGCTTTCTTACTACATTAAGCTCAATAAGCAAACTTTTCCATTGTTACTGATCTTGAATTGTTTTTGATACCTATTAGATTTGATTTTCAAAATTGGGTTCCGCATTTGTAAACCGGTGCAGCAACTTGTATAGCAATAACTTTTCATCAGTCATAAAGAATTGTGAGACGGTAAGATTAAATGTTTAAGTACTAGATTAACAGCAGGTTTTAGATGTTGTATGTTTTTACACTTCCAGAGACAACTATCCCAAATCTCGGATGCCAAGAGCACAGAGCTATCCAGATAATCATCAAGAATTCTCAGGTAGGCAAAAATCACTGGACGTACTAGCTTTCCAAAATTCTTCCTCTTGCAAATAAGAGAGCTTAGAAGGGAAGTTCACATTGAGAGGTATTATATTGCACAAACTTAATATGGTAGGAGAAAACAAAGCAACAAAATCTAATCCAAATGCACACAGTAAAAGATACAATGAAATATAAGATCTTCAGAATGTTTTCTTCTAGATTATCGTGTGTAACACCACTGTTAGTGTGCGTAGTATAACTTATCTGCTTCTCTGAAAAGAACAAATGACGCAGTGGATGGGGGCACGCATCAGTTTGTTAAACTGGACTGTACTATCCATCTCTAAGTTGGAGCATAACTTTGGTTAATTTATTTAATTTTGGAGAGTTGTTGTTTAACCCCAGCTGGCAACTAAGCACTATGCAGCCGCTTGCTCACTCACCCGCAGTGGGATGGGGGAGAGAATTGGAAGGGTAAAAGTGAGAAAACTTGTGGGTTGAGATAAAGACAGTTTAATAGCTAAAAACATGTATGCAAGCAAAGCAAAACAAGGAATTCATTCACTACTTCCCATGGGCAGGCAGGTGTTCAGCCATCTCCAGGAAAGCAGGGCTCCATCACACGTAACGGTTACCTGGGAAGACAAATGCCATCACTCTGAATATCCTCCCTTCCTCCTTCTTTCTCCCAGATTTTATTGCTGAGCACAACCTTGTATGGTATGGGATATTCCTTTGATCCGCTGGGGTCAGCTGTCCCGGCTGTGTCCCTTCCCAAGTTCTTGTGCGCCCCCAGCCTACTCGCTGGTGGGGTGGTGTGAGAAACAAAAAAAGCCTTGACTCTGTGTCAGCACTGCTCAGCAGTAACTGAAACATCCCTGTGTTATCAACACTGTTTTGGTCACAAATCCAAAACATAGCACCAGACCAGCTACTATGAAGAAAATTAACTCTATCCCAGCCAAAACCAGTACACGGAGCCTTCATTTTCTCCGATGTGAAATGAGGATCACTTTGAAGTGCTCATGGCTTCTGTAATTGAAAGCGCTGCAAAGTGAAAGGATGAAGGAGAACTGTCTGCTGTGCCTATAAATTAACCGTCACCACTAATGTTGTTTTCATACAATAGTCTGGCTTGAATCCAAGTTGTTGTGCATGGTTCAGGATACGAAGTGCAATGGGTAACCTTGAAAGTGCTTTGAAGTGTCTCTCATGGACATGCCTCACTACAGAATTTTGCTGTTGAACAATAACTAGCTTCCAGTGAATCTGGGATGTTTCGTGGTTTTTGGTCTATTATATACTTTAAAGCTTCTTTTTATTTTATGAAACTTTATCCAGATAACTGTGTGATGGTGTGTTTCTTCTTTTAAGGACTCTAGAGTGCTTAACAGATTGCACCACTTTTAAATGAAAATAAAACTAAAACTATGTATAAGAATCACTTAGGTGGCGGAGAGAAATACCAAAAAAGTTGGAAATGTCAGAAATTAGTTTGCCTTTGGTAATCTTAATCTAGTTTACTTGTGTTTGCTTATTACAGTTACTTTTCTAATAAGATGATCCTGCAATATTTTTTGGGGGTTTCTTCCTGTGAGATGCTCTGGTATTTTAACAATGGGATAGACAGCAATCATTAATTCCATATTCAATATTTATTCTTATGATCTGATGTGTAACAAAAACAGAATAGTATATAGAGTCAGAAAAAATGTCCATCCGGCCTAGTCTTTTCTCCTCCCACAACCAGTACCAAGCTTCTATAGAAGAGCATGTAATATTCCTTCCTCAGGATATATTCCTAGTCGTGTATGGCTTAAGGGTTCTGCAAATGCAAGATGCTTTTCTGTGATTTGATGGATTTTTTTTTTCCTTCCACAAATTTTTTCAGTCCCTATTTCAACTTGTATAAACTTTTTCAGTATCAACAGTATGTTGTGACAAGAAGTTGTGCAACTTGTGTTTTATAAAGTACGCCCTCTGTGATTTTTTTTTTTGACCTCTTTGTCTCCCTTTGAGCTATTGCTTTTCTAGTCTATAGAGGCCTACATTCCTTATGGAGAAGCAATTTTGTATCTTTGATCATCTCTGTACTTCTAAATCTTTTCCAGTTTTACTAAATCCTTTGGAATGGAGTAGACCAAAGCTTTGTTCAGTATATCTTAATGATTTATAGCATTTAATTTGCTGCTTAGCCAATACAGAGAGTTCAGCTGCTGCTTTATTGGAACTCTCCATCACAGTCCTTCACACTTTTCTCTGCCATTTAACATCCAGTCACATAGACTCTTAAGGGCTTTCTGTAATTCTTCTGTTCTTTATTTCTCCAAATGATTTTGTCACCTCACTATTCATTGCTCTGTCCAGAGAATTCATGCATAATTAAACTGCATGAGTTGTAGTCCAGATTCCTGTGGAACTGTTGACCGTTTACTCCCATCTTATGTACTGATCCAACTACTTATTTATGCATGAGGGACTTTTCCCTTTATCTTATGAATACTTTCGTCCTTTAATAATTTTTAAAAGAGGACCTATTGAATGTGTTTTAGTAATTCAAGCTGTGTTGACTCATTCGCCAATTTTTTATATTTATGCATCTTTAAATTTTATTCTTTGTAATAGTTTCTGCCAATTTTCCTGGTGAACTGTAATTTCCCAGAATTCCTCTAGAAACTATTTTTAAAACTGGAGTAATTAGGCATGCTGCAGTCCTCTGACATTCTTTTAAGCAAGAGGTTACAAACCACTTGAGCTATTGAATTCTTGATCCTTCGGCAGTTTTGGCTGAATGTCCTTTTATTTCATATGGTTTGTTAGATTTGTGGCTTTTGTTCTGTAATCTTTTTTGCTCTGATGCTCCAGCTTGAAGCATATCCTCTGATATGTTCCCCCATGTTTAAGTTTATAATACCAAACTGATTAATTTAATATGCTTTTGCCACTTTTTAAATTTTGAAATGTATCTCTTTATTTTCTAGTAGAGTATGATATCCCAATATTTGAGAAATTTGGAAAGGGGGGGACTTATCCCCGAAGATACCATATTTCATATCATCAACAAGACTACAATGACGGTAAGTGTGAATACTGCAAGAGCTCTACTTGATTAATCTGTTTTTCTCTTCTTAAAAAGTGAAGAAGAAAATTTAGATTGTAAAATCTAAATGAATGAAAATATTGAAGAAATTGAAAGCTTAACTTCTTTCCCCAAACTCACTTGCTAAACTTGTAATGATTGATAGAGCTGCTGAGCAGTCTTACCTTTGGTAAAGTTATGGATTACAGAATTCATGACTCATATGCACAGCTATGAAAATGTTCTCTATCTTTGGCCATGCACAAGTCATCCAGTGTAAGCTTTTGACCTTTGTGACCCTTTTTGATCCAAAGTAGGTATGTCAGTTAGTATGTCATTTCTTGTTTTGCCTAAAAAAACCCCAAATACAGTGGAGTTCCTATTAACAGTTTCTCAGATTAAAAGAGTAAATAAAATTGAAGAGCAGTGATTTAAACCAAGAATTAACAGCTGGTGAAATCAATTGTTGGAATGCAAGACAGCACCTGCTGATGTGGTCACGAAACTGATTTGGATTGGTGTAAATTTAACCCATGTTAAATTTCCAAGGGAAGGAAAGAGGAGCAGCTGAAGGATTGTCTGACTTGAGGGTGTGTCAAGCACTAGTTGAGAAGTGTGAAGAAGAAACTTCTCCAAAGACCAGATGGTTTCATTTGCAGTATGGAATGAGCACAGCAATAAATGGAATTCTGTTACAGAAATCACAGAAATACCAAACTGAAGGACTGCAAGGCAGCTTCGGTCCAGTCCCTTGCTCTAAGGCAATATTAAAGAGGCAAAGATCTGTCACACTGACTTTGAAGTAAACTCTAAATTGACTTTAAGAGAAGAGATACTCATTTTCTTTACGTAACTAACTTCGAAGATAGCTTATCTTATAACTTACCTTTCTTTGTCTTCTAAATCATTTTTCCTGCAAATGAAACTAGTAACTACTTACTCCATTTTAGCACAGTGTAAAATTGGTCACTGCCCATATATAACATTACATCACGCATCTGTTTTCTCTCCTTAGTTTTCTTCTTTCAAGCCTTAAGCCTTACCTCAGACATTTTTGCAAGCCTTGTATTTTTTTTTCTGGTTTCTTCTCCATTCTTATGGTGGCCAAAACTCAATAGAGTACTACAAAAACATGAGGCTTTTCTCATGGCCACTTTATGTATAACATAGGATATAACCATAAGTCAGTATGTAACAGTCATGTTAATATATTCCAGAATGACACTTTACTTTTTTTGATAGTCACCATACTGACTGCTGTTCACTGTTCAGTCTGTGGTCTGTTATAGTTCCTATATCCTTTTCTACATGACTTTTAGCCAACCAATTACTTTACACTTTGTGGTTTCTGCATTTGATTTCACTTTAAGTATGTGTGTTACTGAATTTCATCTTGTTGATTTCTGAATCATCTCCAACTTACTAATATCATTGTGAATTTTGACTTTTATCTTTAAACGGACTTCCAGCCGCACTTAACTTGATGTCATCTGCAATATTTCAGTGTGTTATGTTCCATCATATATACATCATCAGTTAAAATAGTGTATGGAAGTGGACTGCAGGTAAACTGCTGTGGGTGTCCACTTAAATTATCCTCCCCTTTGAGGAGAAATCACTGATAACTGCTCTGAATCTGTCTTGGGCATACTCTATGTAGTAAGTTGGGCTATGCAACAATTCACTAGTTAGCTTACGAGAATATCCTGATGAAATGGGGAAATTGGATTAGCTACCTGTGACAAACCAATTATGGCTGGTTTATCATCTTATGATCTTCAGTGGTTTATAAAACTGCTTAATGTTTGCATATGTTTCTTGGAATTTAAATTGGCCAGACTGGTGTATAAATCTGAGTCCACTTTTTCGAAGTTATTTTATCTGCCTTCTTCAGTCTCCCGGGAGCTCCTTCTCCAGTGTAATACCTAATGAATCAGAGACTCCTTCAGCTATTTCTGCGTTCTGTAGGGTGAAACTTCATCAAGCTATGCTGACCTAAAAATGTTCGTGTTATCTAAATATATTAACATGAATTGTGTTAGTCATCTGGTTGTAATTAACCTTTTTGAAGATCCAGTGCCTTTTTTGGCATTGATCAATCAGCCACCTCTGAATTATGCATTGTTTGTGATTTTTTTTTTTTTTTTTTTTTGTGGTCTTCCT